AAGTGATATTATTTTTTTAATGTTTTTGTTTTACTTCTCTGTTGTCACATATTATTAATTTTATTTTAAGTTGTTTCAAAATGTTGTACTTGTACTGATTTCTGAATAAAAAATTGAAATGAAAAAAAATATTACTACTTAATATTACTTATTGTTATTAATTATTATTATTTTTGATTATTATATATGTATGTATATACAGTATACATATATAGGCCATTATATACTTAAAAAGAAAAATAAAAGATGTAATAATAATAATAATAATAATAATTGTTTATTTATTTATTTATTTATTTATAAGCCTATATATAGGCCTATATAAGACTCTCAACAAAAGCAACAATTCTTTTCAGAACTGTGTTCGTGGTACCACAGGCATTTAATTGTTTCTCTACTATGCAAACCTTCAAGCAATAATATATATAAATATATATATATATATATATGTATATATATAGGCTATATATATAATACAATATAATATTATAATATAATATAATATATATTTTTCTTCCAAAATAGTACGACATGTTACAAGCAACTAAGCCAGGTGTCTTAGTTCTGATAATAAGTTTTTTCCTTTGCTTATTCGTCGCTTTATCACCTCATCTCTCAAAATTCTGGCTGCTAAACGAGGAAGATAAACGAGGTGAGAGATAGATATTCAGATATTTTGTCAGGCGTGTGATAATTGTTTCATGTTATATCGTAGAGATTTGTATAACTTGCGAATATTAGCCAACTAAAACATTAAAAGTTAACTTGAATCGAGAGTAATCAAACTTTTTTGTTTACACACGTAGTGAGAGGAGCCCTGGACCCACGTCAGGGAAGAAGTCATTTCGTCAGAAAACACGTTGACAAAAAGTGATCTATTAATCGCATACAAAAAAAAAATCTATAATCAATCAGTCGAGTGTTTCTAGAGCTCCTCATCGGAGCTAAAAGTAATTGGCCTATAACGGGCTCGCATACAAAAAAAGATCTATAATCAATCAGTCGAGAGTTTCTAGAGCTCCTCATCGAAGCTAATCAATCAGCCGAGTGTTTCTATTCTAGAGCTCCTCAACTGAGCTAAAAATAATTGGCCTATAACGGCCAATTAGTTTTTCTAGAGCTTCTCATTGGAGCTAATAATAATAATAATAACACATCGTTAACCGACCGCGCCATCCATGCGTCGTGTCCTATTTGTGTTAATGGCAGTAATGTACAGTCCTTTTTGTTAAATATTTATATTTCAATATGAACATTGTTTAAAACGGCGCTCGTGATTGGCAGGCTTATCATGTGGTCATGTATGTGATACTTTGAACTTATGATAAGCCTCTAGGCCCAATGTGCTAACTTTTGTAGTAGAAACATTTAAAATGTGGCCCAATTCCTTTTGCTCTGCTAGGAGAGGAAGTCACGGCTGATTATTTAATTGCACTGTACTTGGCTGTTGAATGTTTATAGTCACCCATGTTTGTAACATCCACATCTTCTATATTTTCTAAAACTAGGAATTCTCAAGAAGAACAGTCAACAGCGACCGCCATTAAAAATATTTAGCAACTCTGGAACTAATAATGTAAAATCAAAGGTAAACAGTATGTTTAATTAATTTACAGTCTGCCAATCATTTTATATGCATTTTTCAAATAATTATCAAAACAAAATAAGCTAATGCATGTCTGAAGGATGCCATTTTCTTTGATTTGAGTCACTGTAGACCTTAATATAATAACAAACATCACCAGCTATTATTTTGTAGGCCTAAAGAATTTGCGTTTGATTTCAACTTTCTAAATTCCGTTGTTTTTAATACTTTTTAAAATTATGTTTCTCTTTATTTATGTAATTAATTTGGCACAAACCAAATCAGTGGGAAGCGGGCTGGTTGCCCCCGGACAGTGTATACTATTTATGATAAAAATGTGTCACGTGTATATCTGTACTCAGAGTAGGCCTAAGAACCACAATTAAACCTATAAGCTGCCTAAGAAATAATTGTGCAAATGTAAACGTACGATTGTCTTTCAGGATAACCAGACAAACGGAATAATACCACTGGAGGAAGAGCAAAAAGCCCGCCTTTCAACTCTTCAAACAGCATGCACCGTTACCAAACACAAATCAAAATTCGATGTCGTTCTCAACCCTCCGAATAATTTATATGTCGATTGTGAACATAAGCTATTGTACTGTAGCATTCCTAAAATTGCTTCTACAAACTGGAAACGTGTACTGTTGGTTTTAGCTGGAAAAATGAAAACGATACATTCTGAAAATCAATTGTATGTTAATAGAATTGGGAGTAGACAATTGAAACGTTTCCGAGATTTAAAGTTACCTGATCGCCAGGCTGTCATGTATACATATATTAAATTTTTATTTGTTCGTCATCCATTTTCCCGGGTGCTCTCCGTATTTAGGAACAAACTTGAACCCAATTCGACATTTGAACGAGCGCATGCATGGCAAAAGAGATTGGGTCGTTTTATTATAAGAAAATATCGACAGCACAATAAACAACAGTCGCAGCAAAATGTAGAACATAAATATGACTTAACATTTGGTGAGTTTATCAAGTATATTATTGATAGAAATATGAACAGTGAAAATGGTCACTGGAGAGAGATGTATCAGATGTGCTTTCCATGCGATATACCATACACGTTTATAGGAAAGTTTGAAACACTCACGACCGATGCACAGCATTTACTGGCAGTAGCAAATGCAAATAAGAAGGTTCAGTTTCCCCCATCTTCTGCAAGCAGTCCAACGAACAGTTCCAATGACACAATTTTCAATGAATATTTTAAAGATATTCCTCGACAAGATATTGAAGCTTTATATAAAAGATACCAACTAGATTTTAGACTTTTTGGATATCATCTTGATGAACGATTTTAATAATGGCGAGAAAAATGTTATTGATATTCCAAACATGCCACTCTGATGACGAATGTTTGAAAAAAAAAAAAATCATTCGTCATTACGTGCAGAACAGGGCCGGCGGAACGTTTTTCAAAGTGGGGGGACCACTTATAAGATGAATGGGAATATGAATCATGCAGATCTGGAATAAAAATCTAGTGGGTCCGGGGTCCTCCCCCGGGAAAATTTTGATTTCTAGATGGCAGGAAATGACTTTTCTCGACTTTTGAGCTAGGTGTCTAATGACTTTTTTCTTAAAAATTCAAGGTTTTCCCCCTCTTGAAAACGGTCAGGTAAACTTTCTCATTCTTATTAGAGTAAATAGGCCTGATATGTGTGTAAACATACATAAAAAAAGGAGTAGTTGCGTAGGCCTACGTATATTCTTTTTTCAATGAATGGATAAGCTCCAAAGAAAAGGGGGTCCGGGAAAATTTTGATTCCTAGATGGCGGGAAATGAGCTTTTCCGACTTCTGAGGTATCTTTTAATTACTTTTAAGTTCTTCAAAATTCAAGGTTTTCCCCTTCTTGAAAATGATTCAATGAATCAATGAACACCAAAGGAAAAGGGGGTCCGGGTTCCCCCTGGAAAATTTCGATTTCTAGATGGCGGGAAATGAGCTTTCCTGACTTCTGAAATGTCATTTATAAATGACTTTTTAATTTCTTCAAAATTCAAGATTTTCCCCTCTTGAAAACGGTCAGGTAAATTTTTCTCATTTTTTATTTCATGTGTGCGTACACATAAACAAATGAGTAGTTGCATGCGTAAACTTTTTCCATGAATCGATAAATCCCAACAAGAGAGGGTGGTCCGGGGGTTCTGCCCCTGGAAAATTGTGATTCCTAGATGGCGGGAAATAAGCTTTTTCGACATTTGAATTGTGTTTTAATGACTTTTATGTTC